ACCAGCATCATTGTGTCTCGAATTCGACTGAACTTGATTCATGGCCCAAGAATCCGAACTAAGTTGAACTGCATAGGAGGTAGTCTTTTGGTTCAGGCAAATTTAGCGGACATAAGATTACTTTCGAATGGGTTTTAAGGCATCAGGGCATGATCAAGTATGACACTGCTGAAGAGACATTTTATGGTGGGAATACACTGAATCACGGGTCCATTTATTACGAGATTTCAGAATTTTCGGAACCAACCCGCGTGTGAGATCAAGGTGCAAGTTGCATAGAAGGCATTATGGAGTGCGGGCATTGTGCAAATTCAGGACCAGCCTGCTTATTATACTCTTCATTGTAACGTCTTTTTTGTGAAAAAAGGCAAATTTTTTGGTGGACTTTGGCTTGTTTGCTGAGCTGATGTCACCTCGATTGGTGATGAGACGATTGAAATCAAATTGCCCAGCTCAGCGAACAAGCCAACGACCACCATCTACGCTACCTGAACTACCAACATTTTCCTCTATAGACAATCTTTTTAGCTGGGCAGTTATCACAGAAGCTAGATTGTCTTTCCTTCCGCTTCTCCCACAATAATAACATCCATTTGAAAGAAGGGTTCTTACAGATGTCATCCCCTATGCCATACAACGTTCAACTGAGATGTATCCAATAGTCATGTGATTCAATGCCTAAGCTTTCTGAGGGATAGTTGTTTCCATACAAGATCGGCGAAGAAAAAGAGTGGCTATTGGACCCGGCTCTGTCAAATAACTAGCACGAAGTCTGTGAGAAGCAGAAAATAAATTATGGAAATAAATTTCTCTATTTCGAGACTCACGGTGCTACTTGTGAAAGGAAGAGGGCCTTCGCTGCGGAGTTATTTACTGGAAAATGCCAACTGAACAGTTACAGACCATTGGGCAGGGAAACAAAACTCTCATTTGCATCTTATTTACAAAAACTGGAGATGCACCTCTTGAACGCGTCTTCCTGAACTTTCTTGGATATTCATTGACTGTTGCTCAAATCCAAGCAACTGCGACTCCACTAATACCGCAATAGATCTACCTTTTCAAGAGACGCAAAGCGAATTTACAAGAAAAAACATACTACTCACATGCCTTCCACATCAGTAGTATCACCCTTACACTGATATAATACACTAGCTCATACTATATACAAGCACAGTGCCTGAAAACCTGCCAAGCCATGAGGGGTATTGTATGCGTTTTCTAAAGGCTCTTACACTGCGCAATGCTTTGGAAGATAACATCTAGGGGGATAGTTTCGATCTTTTATTCATACTCAACAGCATCTTTAAAGTTATACAACTTTTCATTTGGACGGCTGCTGATCTTGCTTGCATGCAACTGGAAAAAATGTATTTCATATTACAGAATCATATATAAGGAAACAGCAAGTTTGTGTGTGCCGAGGGTTTCATTTCCACCAACAAATGGTGGAAATATAAACACGTAATCTACTATTGATTTATTGATCTTTGACTTTTTTTGTCAAAAGTAGCCATTGCTTACGCATTTCCAATTGACACTATTTTTGCTGAAAAATAATGATAATACTTTTTCGTGTTATTTTTTGTTGCCTGCACAAATGAACATTGGAGTTCGGCATTGAATTTTACAGAATGTTATCCTGAATGACGATAAAATAGACCCCAGCGGATTCTTGTTCATTCGCCTGCCAAAACAAAGTAGAACGCTCAGAGCTTCGCCCCTCATCATTAATATTTTAATCATGTCTTTAGAAAAGTTAGGACCAGGACTGCACAAGAAACGCACATAGCTGGAGCATTCATTCGGCAACCCTGATTTGTAACCCTAAGGAATCTGCCAACTGGCCAAGAATCGAATTCTGTACGTGAACTTCATCCACAGATCTAAACTAGTCCTACATTCTAAAGTATCAAATTTTCTTGAGATATTGCTCGCTGTTCATACGCCTATAAAACCATCTAAACTACATCAAACGTATGTCATTAAGGTATGCGATTTACATATTATCCGACATTCCTTGTTACTCACTGCCAGTGAGAACACATAAAATTATCGTTAGAGCGATTCGTAGTAATTGGTGAAAGGAAGACCACTAAATCGGACACTACTGGTGTTTGAAGGAAGTTAGATTTGTGGCAAACGTAACTGAGGGTTCTGTAAGTTCCTCGATCAAATTCATCGCCAAAATTTCCTAAAAGAACCCGCACCCGGCCATGTGAGGTTAACACAACTTCCGCAATCCAGTGGTGTAGATGTGAACGACTGTACAACTTTAAAACAGCTTTGCGAATAAAGCCGAGGCTGAACGAGTCATTTGAAAAGAATGTCGAGTGGCGTAAGTTGAGACTGATTGTGCATTCTAGAGCGTTTCGCTTAGTCTTTTCAGGGCTTGAACCGAATGCCTCACATTCTAGGTCCCTTCTCATCAACAATTTTCGCAAGTGCAATATGCAGTAAAATACTTTCTCACCTGAGCCTTTGGCTCTCTGATTTAGTAACAACGTTAGCCCCAAAATGTCAAGCCATTGACGCATCCAACCACGCAACAACTTCCTTAGTCATTATACTGTAACCAGATACCGAGAGCGAACAGTCAGAGAGTTTTATTCTTTCAATCATTTTCCATAAGTTACGTCGGTAACCCAAGTGTGATACAATATTTTGGTGGGATTTTATATTCTCGTAATTCTACATGCATTCGTCAAGCTGTTCTGTTTTCTTTCAGAGCCACTTGCATACAAGAATCAACCAAGCAACGAAACCGGTGGACTATGAAAGGAACTTGCGATTATCGCGAAGCGAAACATGTGAGCTCATTGCGTATGACCGCACTGTTTGCATAGTTATTTTATTGATTCCCCAGTATTGGCTCTCTGCATAACTACTGCACTAAACGTCAGCAGTTATCCCACCGCATCAGAAGTGTTATCCAACAAAATGTGTCAACTTTTCGCTCTAAAACAAGGGTGCTTCCTAAAGTCGTAGACTACTTTTCTATTTTGTCTCGCATTTTAGAATTCAGGTAACAAAAATAATACAAATACCGACATCGTTTCCCGGAAAAGTTTACATGTAATCTCAGGGAAGACAAAAGCGATTCGAACTTTGGTAAAAGTGTCTCCAGAGAAAAGATCGGATGGGATCTTAAAAACTGGGAACGGAAACGTTGGGTGTTTTGAAAAGGTTCATTTGAAGGTTTCAGTCATCAAAGTCTGGGCTACCTGGATGTATCGGTCTCTCAACCAGATTCCAAGTGCTTTTAAAAGGACCCAAAAGCATGGTTATTGTCAGTGTTTGATATTTTCAGTGGTCTGACTTCATTTCACGCAGTCGTCGATGAAGTTGAAGCCCTAAATGAAAAAATGTTGTACGACAGTGCGATGAGAAAGCAAACGGTTGAGAAGAAGCATTTGGTAGGCTTGTGCGTCCAGAGCCCCAATTTGCGTTGAGGAAAAAGCATTGCCTGTGACGTTCATTACCAGGTGACCTCAGGAACTTTCATGAAATCTTTTTGTGTATAAATGTGGTTGGTGTCCATGTGCATCCAAATTACTTCTAACGGTCCATAAAAATTTGTCTCACTGACTCAGGAAATTTAACTCCCATTAGATAAAACATCGGCCCAAAATATACCTAGGGTTTATTTAAAAATGATCCTTATGCAATTATCCTTAGCAAACACTCGATAGATATGGAAGGTGAAGTAGTCTTTTCGTTCGATAGCATGAAACCAAACAGAAATTCAGCAGACCAGGTAGCAGTGGCTTCAAACAGGAAGCAGATAATGACAGACCACCGGCGAATACTGCAAAAAGCACCAATAGTTAGCCGGATTTTAGATACAGCTAAATCTAGTGAGGTTAGGTGTTTTAACTGGTGAAAATTGTTAGGTGGTAAGATAAGGTGTACAGGTAGAACTACTTGAATCATTATCATCATCATCATCATCACCAGAGACAGCAACATCAGTGCTGGCACTGGTGCTTTTCTGCCGTACAGCCACAGATTTTATTTAATTATACCTAAAGGCAGAGTGAAAAGGAGATAAGAGAGTGGGTGTGATAGTGACCCGGTGCTGGCCTATTGCAAGCATTCCGTAGTGCCTACACCTCCAAGCAATCGAACAGACAATTTGAAGAGCAGCTGACAGAACGGACACCACCAGTATCCATCAGCGATGTCTCAAGAGAAGCGCAGTGGAAGATGGGATCCACACCCCGGAAGATGGATCGCATCTCCCCTGCCTAGGCATGCGTTTGCGCCCTGCTGAAGGTGGCAGAAAGAACGACAGCTGTTTTGGTAGACGATATTTCAACATGTGTAGCACACAGGCGAGTCACAGCGGTTGATATGATGTGGTATGATACTTTTGATTGTGGCGTTCATGGTTTTACGTGGGCTGGTATATCCTCAGGGCATCCAGACGTACACAGGAGGGCAACTAGTGTCCACGACCAAAAGCTTTGCTCAGTAGCTATACCTCAAGGCAGTGGATTGGCGCCAACAAGCTACTACAGTAGTATGGGTCATTTTAAGGGACAGGTCGCCGTGCCCCTTCTAACCTCTGACCTGGAGAACCAAGATACTGTGTCCGTTGGGCCTCTATCCACTGACCAGCCTGGTGTGACGAAATTGGGGTGTCAAAGTGAAGCCAAACTGTATGGCTGAGTGTGTCACAAAGGTGGACAAACAGCCACCACACGAGATGGTCCAGTCTCTTTGCAGCGGGTGGCTACATGAGCTGTTTGCCAGGGCCTTTAACTCACGTATAGGCACAATTTTTCTGGATGTAATTCACAAATCAAAGTACTCAACCAGGTTCCCGGAGAATGTGATAGTTCTCTTTATTCTGCTTTGCCCGCTTAATTTCTCTTGTTTCATCGACTGACGTCTTATCAGTTTAAGTAATAGTAACAGTGTGTAGCAGTCGTGTCATTGATGACTGTAGAATTTGATAGTCTTTTGTCGTATAAAAGCATTGTCCTTTCTTATTTCAGCAAGAGCCACGTTGAATAAACCCGTGGAGAAATCCTTTGTTTCACTATCTTCGCGCTATCTTCACCGACAGGGCGTTGAACTGAGGACTACTCCTGGAGCTTTTCATTCCTATGGCCAAACCACACCAAAACTTCGATATCGACGATTACGTCGGGGCGATTATGTTTCACTGGGGAAACGAACACGTATCGCTCACCAACAACCACTGTCGTTGCATGATTCAGGCCGTACCATACGGATGGACCAGAAGCGCATTGTTGTGATCGATGGACCCGAACCGGGGACGACTGGAAATGATCCCAGAACAACGCAGTCCATATCGGACCGATCGTACTATATTGAAGGCGGTGATCTTGGTGGCAACGGTACGGAAAACAACGAAGAGCAATACCCGGTGCTGAGTTTCCAATACACCGAGCCTCACACCGTTGAGCTGCTGGTGGTCGTGACAGAAAGAATGAGACAACGATTTGGAGCGTTGTTAAACGATTACTTGACATCAACAATGACAACAGTGAGTCTTTTGCTCTTACGGACCCAAGTATGGTACAATATCTTTCAGGCACTTCTGTCTTCCAGACAACGTATTGCCTTCATGGAGGCAAGATGGTCCAAGTGGTTAGAGCGCGACTTTACTGTCCGGAAGGTCCGTGATTCGAAGCCGACCTCCGCCTCTTGAATTCCCCCTGTCTAGGCATGGACAAACTGGCAGTTTCCCAGCCCTCGTGCTTCCCCACTGGTGGTATGGCAGCTAGGCACCGGAAGGGTGCTACAGCTGAACGTCTCATGGAAATAATATCTCTGAGTTGTTCGTACTGTTTTTCACTTAGCTGATTAATCGTCCAATTGTCGAGCCAAACTTTGGCAGCTCGCTTTAATCCGGTCGGATGAATCCAATCAGCATAGGATTAGAACGCGAGACCTAAATTTGATGTTTCCTTTACGAAAACCCGGGGTTCTAGTCGTACACATTTTTTCAATAAGTAAATGTTGGATCGCGTTTCTTAAACCGCTCCAGGTCATTGGCTGAACTGCGCACTATCAGTTTCAATTTTTATTTTTTTAATCGTACTTAGTTCTAAAATAGATAGCCCAGAGAGGTTTCCCTCCGAAAATGCAATATTTACCACCAACTGCGCATGAAAAAAGGATCACTACATACAAACGTGTCACTCGAGAGATGTTGCTAGTACTTTTAAACATTTGCTCACAAGTTATTCGCCAGCTACATTCGAATCACCTGCAAACGACATTGACCCTCGGTTTGGAAAGTTCGCGATAAAATATCAGTGCGATCGACGCCAGAAAAGCAATACACTTCCTATGCCTGTGAAGACCCAGTTCTCAATGATTCGTTGCCTGGTGTTCGCAGATGTTTGTGCCTGTGCACACTAGCGTCACTGTGATAAGCACTTATCCTGTTCACTTGTTTGAACGCGGGTGGAAGCAAAAGGCGCCCGTTCAAATAATAAGCTTAAAGTGCAAGTGTTTCGGGAGAAGCTATAGGTGGATATGAAAACCTTGGGGACACATGCCTCTAAGTGTGGTCAATTATTCAGGTCTACTTGTTTGTTCACGTGCTACCGGCCAAACCTGGGCTTCGATCCTGGCGCCACAAAACTTTATTTTCAAAACGTCGTTTTCGAGTGCAGTGAGCTTTTCTCGGTGGCTTGAGTGTACGTTCCTTGATCTTCATCAATACCGTGTAGGCACTGGGGAAATTTCACCTATGGCTTAAATCAGTACTGCAAGGTTTCCAGTGTTAATTTCGCCATACAATAGACGTTGAACTTCGTTTCTCCGGGAGTTCACAACTTTGCTAAATGACTTGTTCGGTGTGTTCCACGAATAGGTTACAAGAAACTGCTATTTTGTTGTGACAGGCATGACTTTTTGGTTTTTCTTATTGTCCTATAGGTCTCCTCGCTTCTGCGACATCCAAGCCTGAAGACGTCACTAGAGCTGAATATAGTGGACATAATCCTTTTGGATCGTGTTTACTCAGTGAGTTCGTAGGTTTTGTTACTGCAAAGTAAAGTTTTGTGTTCACCCGTTCACTTTGCATCCGACAGGTAGATTAGTGTTTACCCGTAGTCACATCAGTTTCGAACAAAGTTGTCTCCACAAGGAGAAATCAATACATGCCACGTAAGTGCCATAGAACATCCTAGTTAATCCACGGTGATGGGCATTTTGCCGCCAAATTTATTGGGAATTTGTGGGATTATTCACTTAGTTTGTAGGAATAACCAGGTTTGCTGCAGTCAAGACGGGGTGGGCGTACAAATATGGTGTTAATTCTGTAGTCATCTAAATGGCTGTAATGGAAAGCTTCTTGAAACTCCCAGACTGAATCTGCCCATCATCATCATCATCATCATCATCATCATCATCATCATCATCATCATCATCATCATCATCATCATCATCATCATCATCATCATCATCATCATCATCAACGACAGCATGACATCAGTGCTCAACACCAATGCTTCACTGCCGTACAGCCATGACTTATTTGAAAGCCTTATTGTAAAGAAAAGAATAAAGGTGGATGGGGGAGGGACTTAGTGCTAGCTTAACACAATCATTCCGAGGTGCCTACACCTCCAGACATTCACTCAGGCAATCTGGACAGAAACTGACAACAAGAACGCCACTGACATCGGTTGGCAGCCATATCTTGTAGTGTCTCCAACCAGGCACAGTGAGGATCACGCGGTCCCCATCCTGGAAGGCGAGTAGCACCGACAGCACCCAAGCGTTTCGTGATCTCCTTCATACTCCTCTGCCAAGTCAAGGGTTGGCCACCTCTCTGTTTACGCCACTCTGAATTGGGCATGGAAAACAGCACTCTCTTCGGCAGACGATGGTTCGGCATACGTAACACATGTCCCAACCAACGCAGCTTCTGGTGCTGGACACATTCTTCGATGGAAGTACCCGTTACACAACCGAAAACGCCCCGTTACAGATTCGCCGACACCGACCGACACGAGCCATCGTTCTGAGACAACGATTGTCGAACACTTGAAGACGTCTCAGCACCGCTGCTCGAATAGGCCAAGTCTCACAGCCATACACCAAAACAGCTCGTACTGTAGCTTGATACACACGTCCCTTCAGATTCAGGAATAAACCATTCTGACGCCATAGGTGTCTCAAATTAGCGAACTCGGCCCAAGGCTAGTGCCAACAAGTACATTTTGAAAATGTATTTGTTCCACCGATCTCTAAGTGAAGTTCAGAGGCCTATACACACTTTGTTTTTGTAATGTTATAGTTTGCGGTTCAATTACATCAATATAGCATATTACAGTGAGGTCATGTGTCCAGAAGTATATTTAGACGCTGCTTTTCTTTGTGATTCTCTCTCAGTAGAAACAATAGCAACAATCTATAGAATAGGCAACATTTCAACGGAAGCACTTCGGTTTGCGCAATTAGCCGAGGCCTCTCCAATAAATCTAGCCAATTAAGTTGGTTTGGGAAGATTAAACAATAAATACAACTCAATAAAATGGCAAAGAGATTACGCATTAAAAAGAGGGAGTTTGTCACTGCGTACTCAAGATCTCCGGAGTCTAAAAACCATGCACTCTCACAGTTAGATCCCTGAAGAAAACGTTTTATTTCGTTGGCTTCCTACCTTTTCTGCACACTACAGAACAGAAACAATCTTGAGGACTGGTCATATAGTAAACAAGAACAAGTTATGGCTCGATTCTGTCGGTGGGTGAATAAATTACGGCGACCCACATTCAACTGGGACTCTGCCATTCTGTTGAACATTGGGTAAGCCAAATTAATGTCTGTCGTATTTTCCTATGTGCGAAATCAACACATAGTACCCATCATACAGTGAATCGAGTTCTCTATGTTGAACATTTCATCAGTTTTTGACGCACAGCATCTCCATAATTTTATGACTGTTAGTTATAACAATACTAGTAATGGTATTCTTTCTTTTTGAAGGCCCCTGCTTTTATACTTTTGTTCATGTACTGAGTAATTTAGTTCTCAGTGCGGTATAAAATGCCACCCCTCCTATTTCACTTCACACAGTTCGCCTTAGAATCTTCCACGTTCCGCTCACGTGACCGCTGGCCACTCAGGCCAATCGATTGTGACATAACTGATATGCGAGAAATCAATTGAGTCCAGATGTACGTAGAACAGTGTTTGGATCTGCCCTACAGAGACATCAGTCGGCCACTCATTGAACAATTTTCTTACGGGCTAGGGTCTCCCCATCCAATGCTGACATTCGTAGCTGGATTTCTGTCCAATAACTACTGAATACAGATGCGCGTTCCAAACGCTTGATTCCTTAGTTGTGGGATTCGTGTAATGTGTATTCACGTTGCTCTTATTTGGATTCTTCCCATCCTAACCCCATTATTCTTGCCAATACAGAGAAGTTCTTCTGGAGTTCGCTCTTTTCAGACCTCATGCAGTCAGAACAAGTAACAAAACCAAACTGTCCAGCAGATGTCAAGCATCCTTGGGGCTACCTCACTGGGAACTCCTAGGAAGCGGGGTAACCCAATCAGGATGGTTACCAGGATGCCGTTTGATGCTTTGGATAGACAAGTCATTTAGCGCAATTGTAAATATGATCATGAGTTTCTAACTATGGTTTTAGTAGTATTGGCAGACTGGGAAATTTCGGAGCACCGGATGTTTGTGGCGGCAGCAGCGTTTCCATGCTCACTTCCATCATTAACCAAATTTAACACTCGACGAATCCGTTAGTGTATTATATCCACTAAGGTCAAGGTAAGTTTCGCTCACGTGCGTTGGCCAAATTTACGGTTGCCTACTGGCGGATAGATAGATAGTTCCAGGATGGGTGAGTCGAAATGTATGTCTCATATGAGTGGCGTTCAGACGCAAAACGTCCTTTCTTTACTGGGGTTGGGCCACTGTGTGGAGGATGGTTTTCCGATAGCTCACCATGTGAATGTGCATTGCGATGATGGGTCGTTGAAATACATGACTGGGGAATCAAATGTGGCCGCAATGTGTCGTCATAGAATAAAGTGATCTAAAACGGAGGAAGTGGATAGAACCTGTTCCACTGTTAGCAGGTCATTACCGAGCTAGGGAAGTTTGTGCAATCGCGTCTCGGTCAAAACGTTTGAGTTTGAGGGCTGCCTACCGATAAAGCTTAAATAGTAGACACAAAATGCAAACTTATTTGACCATGATCTTTTCAAACCATTTACGGAAAAAGTACTGACAGTCTTGGTCAATTTACTGGTGGTTGTTCTGGTAACCAGTCTTGGCAACCGTCTTGCAAGCGTTTTGTCGCCAAAAGTTCGGACATCACTAGGGTGCGATTGTTCGAGTATTCCCTTCCCTGCTGCTGGCGTTACTGTAGCTGATGAATGGAATTCACGTAACTAGATCACTGCGTATGCAGTTCATATCTGGTATCTCATAACTGGCTTCTTCATTCTATACATTAATTTCAGTGATTAACTGTTTTCCTCTGCCCGGTTCAGTTACTCATTATGCGGGATTGAGACTAACCTTTCTTCCACTCGATCGAATACTTTTGTCATTTATGTCTGGCTGGTTTCTTCTTTTACTCGATGGGTTCCACGGCATTTTTACTGATCCACGGTGCTTGACTTTATCTGATTCACTGGGCTACTATCTGAACAACTTTCGTGTTGCTTCGTTAGCTTTCTTTTGATTTTTTCGCTCGATTGTTCGATTTGTTGGTTTCCAGTGGCAGGTCGATGGAAAATCGATGCATGCGATGTTTTGAAGCCTCGATTTTACGGTTTCAGAAAGCTTGGTGCTTGGCTTTATCGTGGTTATTACTTAGTTTGTGACCAATTTAGCAGTTACAACATACAACTATATACAACATACAACCCTTCTTGGATGTGGAACAGTTTTCCCTGTTATGAACTTGCGAATAGGACTTCAAAGTTTTCTTGTAGTGAACCACTTATCCTACTTTACGGAGCCTAGATTTATTTGATTCGTGACAATCAATACAGCAGAATATGACCAGGGATAACCACTTTCACCCGTACACAAGCAATCCGGGGTTTTGGTTGTCTGATCAATATTGATCGATCAACAGGACCTGAGTCATGGGATGATGAATCTCATTGTGGTTGCACACATTCGAATATGGACCAATGTTCAGATCCCTAGTGCCAAAATGTACTCGGGGGAATCCATTGATCGGCTTTTACTTAGGGGCTTATCCACAGCCTTAAACAGCCTAGGCGTAATGACATGATATGGCGAACAAATGAGGTGTGTCTTTCACATGAAAGTATTTCCCGCATGCATCAGTCTACTTTGGCTCACGCAAACCGCCACATTTCTCTCATGCGATGGCCTTGCTCGCGCGCAAGTTCACCAGGATTAGACGCTGTGCCGACATCGAAAAAAAAACAGTTAAACCTACATATTACACAGAGCAGCTTGAGGAATATATTTTCCAAAAAGTAGGCATACCTATTGCAGATATATCTACACAGTGTGTTTTCTGTGACATCCGAAGGAATTCTTTGACGTACAATGGTCGATGACGTCAGTATCAATCGAGACAAAGCATATCTGATAGGCATTGTTCAGGAAATCAAACTTAAATAGGATCATGGTCTATAAAACAACGTTTTAGCACCAAGGGTCCACGCTGACAATCCCAGTTCGCTTAGCATGGGAGGACCGCTGAAGAAGACGATAAGCCGCCTCAAATGAGGATTCATGGCCTTGTCATTTTGGATGAACATGTTGCATTCATTTTTCTCGGAAGACATCGTACAGGGCTGGACACCGTCTTGACTGCAGAGCGTGGGTCACATCCGTTCTGTAAACTCCTTTAACAGATCCGATAAATCGATTCTAGCTCCATGCATCTGCCAATTCGATCACACAAATTTGGTTTCGTCCGACTGTGCAGTCATTATTTACTAAGATATATCAGAAGACTGTAACGAAGGAGTATTGGATTTCGTGGAATTCAACGTACACCTGCCGATCCGTTTGATGTGACTACATAACCTAGTTTATCTGCCCCCCGTTGTAGAAACATTTCCAACCATACGAAGGAGGTTGGTCACAGCCAACGGACTGTATAGCGTGGCAGCTGTGGGCAGGCACAGGCTTTCGATTGGATTCCAATCATACTACACCTTTCGTAGTTTATGACTGTGCGTGCTATGGGAACCCAAATCTGTTTCGCTTCCGATCCTCTTCTACCGAACGGACCAGTTTTAATCCACCTGTAAATCGTAATTGCATGTGCTGAGGGATCAGCAGCTGCTGCTGCCTTTACTCCAATAAGATGAGTAACGAAAACTATGCAATTCCACTGCACACAAATTCCTTTTTTCTTCTTCTGCTTATTGATTACGCTGTTCTTTCTGCCCTTTGCCGACCCTAGCCACTTCAAATCTACCGCGCTGGGTGAGTCATCAAACTTGATCGCCTAACTTTCAAATTTGTGCAGTGTCGCAGTACAACAGGGGATAGTTTACATTGCCAACAGAAATGCACAAGTCGCGACAGGAAAGTTACAAAATGTGCATGCATAAAATAGGAGATTGCTATTTGCTATTGCCCAATGGTCGTGCTGTGAAGTGACCACATGTGGATAACCAAGCTCACTTACAGTGTCACTTACAGTGTTTCTCGCCTCAAGCACGCACAGTTGGTGAATGGCGATGAAACGTGTGGTTAGACTGGTAGACACGAAAGTTATCTTTGTAGCAAGACCACCGTAGCTTTTCCCAAGGGCACGCTTTCGTGCCCTTTAAAGCAGGTGTTCAACCTATACTTCTATTGATTCCAACATGTTCACGAAAAACGAGGTTCCCGGAAATCCATTTTATGGGTTTGTCATGAATGATCTTCCACATTCGATTCCCAGGTGTCGCTCACTACCGTTCAATGTGCAGCGAGGAGAGTTCATGTCTGGCCGTACTGGATCGCGGTTTTGGAACAGGTTATATCATCGCACATGAACTGGGTCATCAGTGAGTTTGCGTAAACCATTCTATTCTAACTCAAATTCTATTCAAATTCGTTTTGTGTTTCTGTGGTCTAAGATGAAACATATGTAGAGGCGAGTGAGTAAAATATGCATGAGTGAATAATTCCATTGAATATCTCTTCAAAAGGCTCCTACGAATAACTAGTGATTGAAACGGCAGCGAAGTAAACCAATGAAACCACCCGATTCGGCAAAAAAATCGCAGCAAACAAAGTGGCGCTTCTGAGTTTCGAAAGCGTGATCTGGTTGCAGTTGTCGAACGAAAATGAGGCAATAACTTGAGCAAGTTTTCTTCACTTTGAGGGGAAAATCCCTGGCCTGACCTGTTCAAAACCACAAAAAGTGGACGGCTGACAACTCAACTATTTACTGCGACAGAGTTATGGAAATTCCGAGCTTCCAGCGCTTCTGTTTGGTTTGAAAAATAACGGTGACGAACATTAATGTTTTCGGGATCTCGTCATCAGGTCAGTACAAATCTAATGGTAAAATAGGAGCGAAAAATGAAATACGTTGCGAAAATTGGTTAGTGAAATGCAAAACGTGGAGACACGAATGACTGGTTTTCTGCGCCCCCATGTCGCATCTAGTTGAATGCTGTGGAACAGTCAAGAGGGCTGTTGAGTGACTTGACCGGTTGATTCGTGTCACACGACCAAGGCAGACTCAGCGTTCGTACGAAAAGTTTTTGACAGCACAGTACCGGGTTTCGCAGGCGTATAGCGACTGCCTCGGCTGTAGTCAAGCGACGCTGTTGAATATATACTGGTAGTCTATTTGGTACACGGTAAGTGACTTGAAATGACTCATTTTGAACGACTACGTGCCCGGTGTCCATTAGGTGGGACACTATTGAGCTTCTGGCTGAACTGTTGAGGTAAGAGAGGTGCTCGCGTATTCTCTTAGAAAGTTGCCTTGTCGTGCGCCCAACATACTCCGCTGAACAACAGCAGGAGAAAAAAATACACAGTCGTATTCTGGGTGAGAACTGACATCTCGTCTCTGAGGTTTAAGTTGAGCAAAGGGTTTGTTGGAAACCAAGACCGCAGAGTTCCAGCCGGAAACGTGCTTTGCAGGGATTGAAACAAGCAGCGGTTGGCTATGTCTGCCAACAGGTCGCCTTTATACGGTAGACTCAAGTATGGTGGCTTCTTTCCAATGGCCGTGCTAGGTGGTTGGATAGGGCGGCCGGACATATTCTTGGTTCCAAATCTCTCCGGGTAACCATTGGCTCGTAGCACGTCAGCAATGTGTTGCAGTTCGGAGTCCAGTATATCAGCAGAGCGGATACGTTTTGCTCGGATCATTAAAGTTTGGATCAAGGTTTGTTTCCGCTTCAGTTGCACAAAGCTCAGGAAGTTTGTGTACTGTCCCGTCCACGCGAGCTTTCTGTGGACCGACCTCTGAATTGAACCCGTGGAAAGTCTGACTAACTTAACGTCCAAGAAGTGGAAAGTGTTGTCACTTTCAGTTTCACAAGTGAACTGAATAGAGGGATGTGCTCGGTTAAAGTTGGTCAAGAAAGCATTCGTTTCGAAACCGTTTGAAACTACCATAAAAATATCATCTACGTACCTTCGATAAAAGCGCGTGCGTCTATTTTCCCCATGCAACTAAGGGAAATATCCACTGGCTGAGGTTTGCCATCCTCATGAGTTTCCTTTGTTGGAGACTGTCCATTCTGCGACACGTGATTGGTGTGTACTCAGAGAAAACGTATGCGTTGTTTACTAATTTCTGGATACAAGTCCAGAACAGCGATCACAGTGATATGGCGTGTCGGAAGACACTTCATTTCTAGCCCCCCCCCCACAACTCATTTTTCTGGTCCATAAGCTCAACTCACCCCGCTAACGTTCACTGACACGAGCAAATCACAACCCCTTTAATCTTATCCCCATTCTTATGAGGCATTTGTGAGTTTAAACTGTTGCTACTTATTAATCATTCACGTTTTTGGGGCCAGCCCCAATGCCCTAAAATGACCAGTTTAGTGGATGCATTCGTTTGCCCGTTTCCTTGACAAAATACCAGAAAAATCGAGGTTATGAGAAACATATGTCTTCGAGGGGGGACAAAAGGGGTTCACTGGCAGCCCAGTTCAATTCAACAGACAGGGAAATGATGAATATACTTGAA